CTCATGAACCATGTGACATTTTACTGTCTGTTCTGTCTTTCCTCAATTCTATCTAATCATTTTGTCTTTGTTTTGTTAAGATATATATATTTTATACTGACAGAGATTATTCAAACAAAGGGTCTCTCACCTGTGCTTCAGTCAGCAGGTTTTCCCGACGTTTCGTTCTCAGCCATGACTTGGAGATTTATAACCTTTTATTATTGTTGTATTATTATTATTATTATTAGTTTAATCCCAGACTCTTTCTTACGAGTTTATTAAGATAACACTACGATAAAGTGGTTTTCCTTCAACATAAAAGTTCTGTTGGGACAGACTTCATGGAAACAGTGAGAAACAGACATCACTGATAATAACTCTGTAAAGATAAGTTTGTGATCCTTCTTCCTGGTGTTTTGCCGGTGGCTGTGGCCCAAACCTCCAGGACCCGGAGCTCAGACCTCAGATCCACATAAACCCAGGATTTCCAGCTCTAAGTCGCACATATTGCACTGCTGCTGCACTAACCCCACCATATGAACTGCTTATTACACAGACCTTCAGCCCTGAGCGCGTCACTGCAAAACATGACCAATGCATCTGTGTCTTAATGAAAATGTGTTACGCCCTCTCCACTCTTTGAACAAAACTCTCTGGTCTTATCCGTCGAGCACCGATCACCAGAATGATTGACAACTGGGAGGACCAATAGCCACTTTACCCTGTCTCTCATATGTCCCTGTGTCCGCAGGTCCCGGCCATCTCGTTGGCCTATGAGACGGCAGAGAGTGACATCATGAAGCGTCAGCCTCGGAATCCTCAGACGGACAAACTGGTGAACGAGCGTCTGATCAGCATGGCCTACGGACAGATCGGTCAGTACCAACGTAGCTTCACGTGATTTAACGTGATTTAAAGGAGCAGTGTGTAAACATGTGGCCAACAGTGGTACTGCAGCCTCTCCCACTCTCCCTGACTCAGGTTGCCAGATATGCAGAGGAATCCAGCTGGGACCATAACAGCTGAATAGACAAGAGTTTTGTCAACAACAAATCTATAACCAACACCTTTTTCACAAAGATAGAAATCCTGGTTTTATTCCTTGTTTTGTCGTTAATGATTTGAGAATCATAACGAGACCTTTTTTAGTTCTGCGCCACATGGTACTTTACCAGTGAGATTAGCTCCACATGGTACTTTACCAGTGAGATTAGCTCCACATGGTACTTTACCAGTGAGATTAGCTCCACATGGTACTTTACCAGTGAGATTAGCTCCACGCGGTGAGTTCTGGCGCCCGGATCACAGACTTTGTGTTTTCCTATTATGACAGATTAGGGCCCTTGAAAGAAGACTTGATGAAAATCTTACATTTTGCTACTTTAAGTAAAGCTCTCCAACCTTCTCTGAGAGAGCTACTGGCAGAGAGCTACTCCCGTTATACAGTTGGCATCATTACGTAGATTTTTATCTTGATTTGAAAATATTTGGACATTTTTCTAAAACAACAGCTTTCGTCTTATTTCCAGCACAGATAAAATGTTACATGTTCTATTGGAAAATCTGGTTTTAGGTCAAAACATCACAAAACTATTCTTTTGGGAGATACTTTGAAGACGGTGGTGAGCTACTGGTAGCAGTAAACATAGAACTGTTGATATACCATGTGCATGTGAAAGTCCGATCCTGTCAGACTATTGAAGCGAAGCAGATCGGGGTCTGGTTAGTGCTGTGATGGGAGACCATTGGTGTGAGTCAGTCTGGATACGTCAAAACTATTGTCGGCCCCGGGATATGTCTGGTTAAAAAACATGGCCTTGTTACAAATAAGTTATTTATAACATCCCGATCTATTTAGTCCCACTGTGGATGTTGTAGTGGTAGGTGCAACCGGAGCACCCGGAGGAAACCTATGGAAACTTAGAACCACCACTGAAACGAGTATGAGTAAGGTGCAGTGGACACAGGTGTAAAGTGTCCAGTTGGAAACAAACCCACCCCCTCACAGAACACTCACCTCTTTCATCATAGGCATTGGTAATCGCTTGCAAAGATTAGGACTAGGTCTATCTTTGGAGTTTCGCGGTTGTTAATTATGAATATAGACATTGATTCATGTTAAAGTAAACACAGCGACAGTGATTTTAACTTGACTCATATTAGATTTATGTTTAAACAACAGATTTGACACAGATTCCTCTCCCATCCGTCTGTTGGACTGATCAGCGTGTGTTTCCAGATTGGAAAGTGTCTTGGACGCTACAGTCTTCTCTGAGGCGTCTCTCTTTGACTCAAATAGAATAAATTACATTCAAGCTGTTTCATCAGGACTTGGATCTCCACCTTTCTTATTTGGAAGAGAGAAGAGGAGGGACTAAAGCTGTAACGAACATGGATAGACAGAGACCAGAGGGAGACCAGAGGGAGACCAGAGGGAGACCAGAGGGAGACCAGAGGGAGACCAGAGGGAGGGACCAGAGGGAGGGACCAGAGGGAGGGACCAGAGGGAGGGACCAGAGGGAGGGACCAGAGGGAGGGACCAGAGGGAGGGACCAGAGGGAGGGACCAGAGGGAGGGACCAGAGGGAGGGACCAGAGGGAGACCAAAGAGATGATTGAGAGACCTTAGAAAGAACAGAGAGACCAGAGGTAGACCAGGGGGAGACTAGAGAGAGACCAGAGAAAGATCTGAGAGAGAGAAGAGAGAGACTCGAGAGAGATCTGAGGAAACCAGAAAGAGTTCTGAGAGAGACTTGAGAAAGACTAGAGGGAGACCTGAAAGAGACTGGAGATACAGACTAGATAGAGGCCATAGCGAGACCAAAGAGAGACCAAAGAGAGACCAGAAAGAGACCAGAGGGAGACCTGAGAGAGACCATAGAGAGACCAAAGAGAGACCAGAAAGACCAGAGAGAGACCAGAGAGAGACCAGAGGGAGACCTGAGAGAGACCATAGAGAGACCAAAGAGAGACCAGAGAGAGACCAGAGAGACTTCATAGAAACCTGTGAAACAGCGAGACCATGAAAGGTGAGCCGCGATACAGCGATGGACCAATTTACCCTGAAACAAAACATGGAAGATTCTAAAGTCCTCTATTATGGTATGTTCTGTCTGTTTCCACGGCGATACCCCCCCCCCCCCCCCCCCCCCCTCCTCCTCCAGGTCACTTCTGAATGATTTGTTGAAGAAGCTTTGCCCTCTGCTCCTCTCCACATGAATCACACCGACTCACTGCCAGGCCTTTTAAACGCTCCTATACACACACACAGAGACACACACACACACACACACACACACACACACACACACACACACACAGAGACACACACACACACACACACACACACACACACACACATACAGAGAGACACACGCACACACACATACAGAGACATACACACACACACACATACACACACACACACACACACGCACATACAGAGACATACACACACACACACATACACACACACATACAGAGACACACACGCACACACACACACATACAGAGACACACACACACACACACACGCACACATCCCACAATGCTCAGCCCTGGCATTTATCGCTGCGTCTTTGGCCCGTGACCCTCCGCTTGGGAAACGTTGGCAGAGTGCTGTGATTTACGTCTAATTGATGTGACATTTGCGATACATGACGTTGGTCGCACCTGCCCTGCTCCTCTTTATCTGATAAGTGGTGGCAGCGCCGACGTTTCAATTACGTGTTTGTCATGTCGTTTATTTAGAGTTAAAATCCATACGCAACCAGACGGAGACCAGAGAGAGAGAGAGAGAGAGAGAGAGAGAGACCAGAGGGAGAGAGAGAGAGAGACAGAGAGAGAGAGAGAGACCAGAGAGAGAGAGAGACCAGAGGGAGAGAGAGAGAGAGACAGAGAGAGAGAGAGAGAGAGAGAGAGAGACCAGAGGGAGAGAGAGAGAGAGACAGAGAGAGAGAGACAGAGACCAGAGAGAGAGAGAGACCAGAGGGAGAGAGAGAGAGAGACAGAGAGAGAGAGAGAGAGAGAGAGAGAGAGAGAGAGAGAGAGACCAGAGGAGAGAGAGAGAGAGAGAGAGACCAGAGGGAGAGAGAGAGAGAGACAGAGAGAGAGAGAGACCAGAGGGAGAGAGAGAGAGAGACAGAGAGAGAGAGAGAGACCAGAGGGAGAGAGAGAGAGAGAGAGAGAGCAGAGGGAGAGAGAGAGCAGAGGGGAGAGAGAGAGAGAGACAGAGAGACCAGAGGGAGACCAGAGAGAGAGAGAGAGAGAGAGACAGAGAGAGAGAGAGAGAGACCAGAGGGAGAGAGAGAGAGAGAGAGAGAGAGACCCGAGAGAGAGAGAGCGAAGAGAGGGAGAGAGACAGAGAGAGAGCAAAGAGAGAGAGCAGAGGGAGAGAGAGAGAGAGACAGAGAGAGAGCAGAGGGAGAGAGAGAGAGACAGAGAGAGAGAGACAGAGAGAGAGACAGAGGGAGAGAGAGAGACCAGAGGGAGAGAGAGAGAGAGAGAGACCAGAGGGAGAGAGAGAGCAGAGGGAGAGAGAGAGACAGAGAGACCAGAGGGAGAGAGAGAGAGAGAGAGAGACCAGAGGGAGAGAGAGAGCAGAGGGAGAGAGAGAGAGAGACAGAGAGACCAGAGGGAGAGAGAGAGAGAGAGAGAGAGACCAGAGGGGAGAGAGAGAGAGAGACAGAGAGAGAGGGAGAGAGAGACCAGAGGGAGAGAGAGAGACCAGAGAGAGAGATAGACAGAGAGAGAGGGAGAGAGAGACCAGAGGGAGAGAGAGAGACCAGAGAGAGAGATAGACAGAGAGAGAGGTAGAGAGAACAGAGAGACCAGAGAGAGACCAGAGAGAGACCAGAGAGAGACCAGAGAGAGAGACCAGAGAGAGACTAGAGAGAGACAGAGAGAGACCAGAGAGAGACCAGAGAGAGACCAGAGAGAGACCAGAGAGACAGAGAGAGAACAGAGAGAGAACAGAGAGAGACCAGAGAGAGACCAGAGAGAGACCAGAGAACAGAGAGAGAACAGAGAGACCATAGTTAAATAGAGAGAGACCAGAGTATGTGACATCACCGCTGCCCTTTAAACGAGCCTACAACAGATGACTGCATTTCAGCACTCGTCAAGTGTAAGAAATGAGTCTGAAACGATCCGTCAGGTTGAAAGTGCTCAGGCTCCTGTCAACAGCACTTTGCTGATGTCAGACGTGACTTCATAAGCGCCGCGTCCTCAGACATTAGCCTCTCGCTGAGAAGAAGGACGTGTTGTTGCAGCAAGTGTCAGAGTGAGACGCTTTTACAGACTGTGGAGTGTGTTCGACGGTTTCAGCTGAAAATGTTAAAGGTGCAGAATATATGTGTATTTACAGCCATAGGATCACACATCTCTCTGGTCTCTCTCTGGTCTCTCTCTGGTCTCTCTCTGGTCTCTCTCGGATCTCTCTCTGGTCTCTCTCTGGTCTCTCTCGGATCTCTCTCTGGTCTCTCTCTGGTCTCTCTCTCTGGTCTCTCTCTGGTCTCTCTCTGGCCTCTCTCTGGTCTCTCTCTGGTCTCCCTCTGGTCTCTCTCTGGTCTCTCGCTGGTCTCTCTCTGGTCTCTCTCTGGTCTCTCTCTGGTCTCTCTCTGGTCTCTCTCTGGTCTCCCTCTGGTCTCTCTCTGGCCTCTCTCTGGTCTCTCGCTGGTCTCTCTCTGGCCTCTCTCTGGCCTCTCTCTGGTCTCTCTCTGGTCTCTCTCTGGCCTCTCTCTGGTCTCTCTCTGGTCTCCCTCTGGTCTCTCTCTGGCCTCTCTCTGGTCTCTCGCTGGTCTCTCTCTGGCCTCTCTCTGGTCTCTCTCTGGTCTCTCTCTGGCCTCTCTCTGGCCTCTCTCTGGTCTCTCTCTCAGGTCTCTCTCTCAGGTCTCTCTCTCAGGTCTCTCTATGGCGTGGCCCCGCTCCTTCTGCCTAAATGCTCTCTGTTCAAACTCATTACTCCGCAGCAAAACGTCAGATCTGTTTATGGCTTTTAAAATCAAACAAAGCAAATGAGGACGATAAATGAAACCGTGGGAAGAGCTGCTTTAGCATAACTTCTATAATGTTTTTGTTTAGTTCAATTAAGTCTCTGTTTCTCTGGAGTCAATACTGAACAGCACTTCACCTGCTTTAGCTTAGGTCTCTCTTCTGTTATCAGTGTCGCAGTCCTGAGTCTACAGCCTCAGTCCTGGGTCTACAGCCTCAGTCCTGGGTCTACACCCTCAGTCCTGGGTCTACAGCCTCAGTCCTGGGTCTACACCCTCAGTCCTGGGTCTACAGCCTCAGTCCTGGGTCTAAAGCCTCAGTCCTGGGTCTACAGCCTCAGTCCTGGGTCTAAAGCCTCAGTCGTAGATCTACAGCCCTAATGTCCTTTCTGTCTTCTTTAAATGTTGTGAATCTGAATCATTTTGAAGTCGACTGTAGTAGTCTTTGGGTTGTGTTGCTATTGTGTACTACAGCACCCAAAACAACCCAGTACTTGTTATACTGTCCACTCTAATGTAGTATGTCCTGGTCTCTCTCTGGTCTCTCTCTGGTCTCTCTCTGGTCTCTCTCTGCTCTCTCTCTGCTCTCTCTCTGGTCTCTCTCTTTGGTCTCTCTCTGGCCTCTCTCTGGTCTCTCTCTGGTCTCTCTCTGGTCTCTCTCTGGTCTCTCTCTGGTCTCTCTCTCTGGTCTCTCTCTCTGGTCTCTCTCTCTGCTCTCTCTCTGCTCTCTCTCTGGTCTCTCTCTTTGGTCTCTCTCTGGCCTCTCTCTGGTCTCTCTCTGGTCTCTCTATGGTCTCTCTCTGGTCTCTCTCTGGTCTCTCTCTGGTCTCCCTCTGGTCTCTCTCTGGTCTCTCTCTGGTCTCTCTCTGGTCTCTCTCTGGTCTCTCTCTGGTCTCTCTCTGGTCTCTCTCTGGTCTCTCTCTGGTCTCTCTCTGGTCTCTCTCTGGTCTCTCAGGGATGATCCAGGCTCTGGCCGGGTTCTTCACTTACTTCGTGATCCTGTGTGAGAACGGTTTCCTGCCGTGGAGTCTGGTTGGAATCAGGCTCCAGTGGGACGACCGCGACGTCAACGACCTGGAGGATACATACGGCCAGCAATGGGTACACAAACAACGCACACACACACACACATATACACACATACACACACAGAGGCCCAAACGCTCTCTGACCATACAGCATTCTCCCATACAACACACAAAGGCATACAATCACACACACAGTCATACAATCACACACACAGTCATACATACAAACACACACACACACCCACAGACACACACACACATCCACACACACACACACACACACACACACCCACAGACACACACACACACACATCCACACACACACACACACACACACACATACACCACACACACACACACATAAAAGAAATGTATTCAAACTGAATTGAATTGACTTGAATTGGCCGCAAGAAATCTAATCTATTTCTACAATATACTGACCCTGACTCTGTGTGTGTGTGTGTCTGTCTGTGTGTGTGTGTGTGTGTGTGTGAGTCTGTGTGTGTGTGTGTGTGTGTGTGTGTGTGTGTGTGTGTGTGTGTGTGTGTGTGTGTGTGTGTGTGTGTGTGTGTGTGTGTGTGTGTGTGTGTGTGTGTGTGTGTGTGTGCGTCTGTGTGTGTGTGTGTGTGTGTGTGTGTGTGTGTGTGTGTGTTGTCTGTGTGCGTCCTCTGTGTGTGTGTGTTGTGTCTGTGTGTGTTGTGTGTGTGCGTCTCTGTGTGTCTGTTTGTGTCTGTCTGTCTGTGTGTGTGTGTGTGTGTCTGTCTGTCTGTCTGTGTGTGTGTGTGTGTGTGCGTCTCTGTGTGTGTGTGTCTCTCTGTGTGTCTCTGTGTGTGCGTATATGTGTTGTGCGTCTGTGTGTGTGTGTTGTGTGTGTGCGTCTGTGTGTGTGTGTTGTGTGTGTGTGTTGTGTGCGTGCGTCTCTGTGTGTGTCTGTCTGTCTGTGTGTGTGTGTGTGTGTGTGTCTGTCTGTCTGTGTGTGTGTGTGCGTCTCTGTGTGTGTCTCTCTGTGCGTCTCTGTGTGTGTGCGTATATGTGTTGTGCGTCTGTGTGTGTGTTGCAGACGTACGAGCAGAGGAAGATTGTGGAGTTCACCTGCCACACAGCCTTCTTCAGCAGCATCGTCATCGTGCAGTGGGCCGACCTCATCATCTGTAAGACCAGGAGGAACTCTCTGTACCAGCAGGGCATGAGGTGAGACACATGGTACACACCAGGAGGAACTCTCTGTACCAGCAGGGCATGAGGTGAGACACATGGTACACACCAGGAGGAACTCTCTGTACCAGCAGGGCATGAGGTGAGACACATGGTACACACCAGGAGGAACTCTCTGTACCAGCAGGGCATGAGGTGAGACACATGGTACACACCAGGAGGAACTCTCTGTACCAGCAGGGCATGATGGTGAGACACATGGTACACACCAGGAGGAACTCTCTGTACCAGCAGGGCATGAGGTGAGACACATGGTACACACCAGGAGGAACTCTCTGTACCAGCAGGGCATGAGGTGAGACACATGGTACTGACCAGGAGGAACTCTCTGTACCAGCAAGGCATGAGGTGAGACACATGGTACTGACCAGGAGGAACTCTCTGTACCAGCAAGGCATGAGGTGAGACACATGGTACTGACCAGGAGGAACTCTCTGTACCAGCAAGGCATGAGGTGAGACACATGGTACTGACCAGGAGGAACTCTCTGTACCAGCAAGGCATGAGGTGAGACACATGGTACACACCAGGAGGAACTCTCTGTAGCAGCAGGGCATGAGGTGAGACACATGGTACACACCAGGAGGAACTCTCTGTACCAGCAGGGCATGAGGTGAGACACCTGGTACTGACCAGGTGGAACTCTCTGTAGCAGCAGGGCATGAGGTGAGACACATGGTACACACCAGGAGGAACTCTCTGTAGCAGCAGGGCATGAGGTGAGACACATGGTACACACCAGGAGGAACTCTCTGTACCAGCAGGGCATGAGGTGAGACACCTGGTACTGACCAGGAGGAACTCTCTGTAGCAGCAGGGCATGAGGTGAGACACATGGTACACACCAGGAGGAACTCTCTGTACCAGCAGGGCATGAGGTGAGACACCTGGTACTGACCAGGAGGAACTCTCTGTACCAGCCAGGCATGAGGTGAGACACATGGTACACACCAGGAGGAACTCTCTGTAGCAGCAAGGCATGAGGTGAGACACATGGTACACACCAGGAGGAACTCTCTGTACCAGCAAGGCATGAGGTGAGACACATGGTACACACCAGGAGGAACTCTCTGTAGCAGCAGGGCATGAGGTGAGACACATGGTACACACCAGGAGGAACTCTCTGTACCAGCAGGGCATGAGGTGAGACACCTGGTACTGACCAGGAGGAACTCTCTGTACCAGCAAGGCATGAGGTGAGACACATGGTACTGACCAGGAGGAACTCTCTGTACCAGCAAGGCATGAGGTGAGACACATGGTACACACCAGGAGGAACTCTCTGTAGCAGCAGGGCATGAGGTGAGACACATGGTACACACCAGGAGGAACTCTCTGTACCAGCAGGGCATGAGGTGAGACACCTGGTACTGACCAGGAGGAACTCTCTGTAGCAGCAGGGCATGAGGTGAGACACATGGTACACACCAGGAGGAACTCTCTGTACCAGCAGGGCATGAGGTGAGACACATGGTACACACCAGGAGGAACTCTCTGTACCAGCAGGGCATGAGGTGAGACACCTGGTACTGACCAGGAGGAACTCTCTGTAGCAGCAGGGCATGAGGTGAGACACCTGGTACTGACCAGGAGGAACTCTCTGTAGCAGCAGGGCATGAGGTGAGACACATGGTACACACCAGGAGGAACTCTCTGTACCAGCAGGGCATGAGGTGAGACACCTGGTACTGACCAGGAGGAACTCTCTGTAGCAGCAGGGCATGAGGTGAGACACCTGGTACTGACCAGGAGGAACTCTCTGTACCAGCAGGGCATGAGGTGAGACACATGGTACACACCAGGAGGAACTCTCTGTACCAGCAGGGCATGAGGTGAGACACATGGTACTGACCAGGAGGAACTCTCTGTACCAGCAGGGCATGAGGTGAGACACATGGTACACACCAGGAGGAACTCTCTGTACCAGCAGGGCATGAGGTGAGACACATGGTACTGACCAGGAGGAACTCTCTGTACCAGCAGGGCATGAGGTGAGACACATGGTACACACCAGGAGGAACTCTCTGTACCAGCAGGGCATGAGGTGAGACACATGGTACTGACCAGGAGGAACTCTCTGTACCAGCAAGGCATGAGGTGAGACACATGGTACACACCAGGAGGAACTCTCTGTACCAGCAGGGCATGAGGTGAGACACATGGTACTGACCAGGAGGAACTCTCTGTACCAGCAAGGCATGAGGTGAGACACATGGTACACACCAGGAGGAACTCTCTGTACCAGCAGGGCATGAGGTGAGACACATGGTACTGACCAGGAGGAACTCTCTGTACCAGCAAGGCATGAGGTGAGACACATGGTACACACCAGGAGGAACTCTCTGTAGCAGCAGGGCATGAGGTGAGACACATGGTACTGACCAGGAGGAACTCTCTGTACCAGCAGGGCATGAGGTGAGACACATGGTACACACCAGGAGGAACTCTCTGTACCAGCAGGGCATGAGGTGAGACACATGGTACTGACCAGGAGGAACTCTCTGTACCAGCATGGGCATGAGGTGAGACACATGGTACACACCAGGAGGAACTCTCTGTACCAGCAGGGCATGAGGTGAGACACATGGTACTGACCAGGAGGAACTCTCTGTACCAGCAGGGCATGAGGTGAGACACATGGTACACACCAGGAGGAACTCTCTGTACCAGCAGGGCATGAGGTGAGACACATGGTACTGACCAGGAGGAACTCTCTGTACCAGCAAGGCATGAGGTGAGACACATGGTACACACCAGGAGGAACTCTCTGTACCAGCAGGGCATGAGGTGAGACACATGGTACTGACCAGGAGGAACTCTCTGGACACAACTTGTATTTTCAAACTAACCTTTTATGAGACAACAAGCATCAGGTCTAGTCCAGTGAAAGACAATGATAATACACAATGAGAGAGACCAGAGAGAGACCAGAAAGAGACCAGAGAGAGACCAGAGAGAGACCAGAGAGAGACCAGAGAGAGACCAGAGAGAGACCAGAGATAGACCAGAGAGAGACCAGAGAGAGACCAGAGAGAGACCGAGACCAGAGAGAGACCAGAGAGAGAGACCAGAGAGAGACCAGAGAGAGACCAGAGAGAGACCAGAGAGAGACCAGAGAGAGACCATAGAGAGACCATAGAGAGACCAGAGAGAGACCAGAGAGTGACCAGAGAGAGACCAGAGAGAGACCAGAGAGAGACCAGAGAGAGACCAGAGAGAGACCAGAGAGAGACCATAGAGAGACCAGAGAGAGACCAGAGAGAGACCAGAGAGAGACCAGAGAGAGACCAGAGAGAGACCAGAGAGAGACCAGAGAGAGACCAGAGAGAGACCAGAGAGAGACCAGAGAGAGACCAGAGAGAGACCAGAGAGAGACCAGAGAGAGACCAGAGAGAGACCAGAGAGAGACCATAGAGAGACCAGAGAGAGACCAGAGAGAGACCAGAGAGAGACCAGAGAGTGACCAGAGAGAGACCAGAGAGAGACCAGAGAGAGACCAGAGAGAGACCAGAGAGAGACCAGAGAGTGACCAGAGAGAGACCAGAGAGTGACCAGAGAGAGACCAGAGAGAGACCAGAGAGAGACCAGAGAGAGACCAGAGAGAGACCAGAGAGAGACCAGAGAGAGACCAGAGAGAGAGACCAGAGAGAGACCAGAGAGAGAGACCAGAGAGAGACCAGAGAGAGACCAGAGAGAGACCAGAGAGAGACCAGAGAGAGACCAGAGAGAGAGACCAGAGAGAGACCAGAGAGTGACCAGAGATAGACTAGGGAGAGACCAGAGCCTGTGAGTGTGTTCTGTGTATTGCTCTGTCCTGGTGCGTCTCATGGTCCTGTGTGTGTTCTGTGTATAAGTGTGTTGCTCTGTCCTGGTGCGTCTCATGGTCCTGTGTGTGTCTGTGTATAAGTCTTTTGCTCTGTCCTGGTGCGTCCCATGGTCCTGTGTGTGTTCTGTGTATAAGTGTGTTGCTCTGTCCTGTGTAGGAACCGTATCCTGATCTTCGGTCTGTTCGTGGAGACGGCTCTGGCTGCGTTCCTGTCGTACTGCCCTGGGATGGACGTGGCTCTGCGCATGTATCCGCTCAAGTACGCCCCCTACAGTCCACACATCACACTGCTTTTGTGCCTCTAGAATACACTTATTCAGACACCAGATTCCCTCGCTGTTTCAGAGATTCTTTTGAGGTCAATTTTGATTTTTTATGGTCAGTTGTCAGAAGAATGAATAGGCGGCTGGTCTGATGAGTTCAGAGGAGACTTTCTCTTTTTGTCTCTCTCTAGTCTCTCTCTGGTCTCTGTCTCTCTCTGATCTCTACTCTGGTCTCTCTCTCTGGTCTCTCTCTCTGGTCTCTGTCTCTCTCTGGTCTCTACTCTGGTCTCTCTCTCTGGTCTCTGTCTCTCTCTGGTCTCTCTCTCTGGTCTCTGTCTCTCTCGAGTCTCTCTGGTCTTTCTCTGGTCTCTGTCTCTCTCTGGTCTCTCTCTGGTCTCTCTCTCTGGTCTCTCTCTGGTCTCTCTCTCTGGTCTCTCTCTTGTCTCTCTCTCTGGTATCTCTCTGGTCTCTCTCTGGTCTCTCTCTGGTCTCTCTCTGGTCTCTCTCTCTGGTCTCTCTCTGGTCTCTCTCTCTGGTCTCTGTCTCTCTCTGGTCTCTACTCTGGTCTCTCTCTCTGGCCTCTGTCTCTCTCTGGTCTCTCTCTGGTCTCTCTCTGGTCTCTCTCTCTGGTCTCTCTCTGGTCTCTCTCTCTGGTCTCTCTCTCTGGCCTCTGTCTCTCTCTTGTCTCTCTCTCTGGTCTCTCTCTGGTCTTTCTCTCTGGTCTCTCTGTGGTCTCTCTCTCTGGTCTCTCTCTGGTCTTTCTCTCTGGTCTCTCTGTGGTCTCTCTCTCTGGCCTCTGTCTCTCTCTTGTCTCTCCTTCTGGTCTCTCTCTGGTCTCTCTCTCTGGTCTCTCTCTGGTCTCTCTCTCTGGTCTCTCTCTCTGGTCTCTCTCTGGTCTCTCTCTCTGGTCTCTCTGGTCTCTCTCTGGTCTCTCTCTCTGGTCTCTCTCTGGTCTCTCTCTGGTCTCTCTCTCTGGTCTCTCTGGTCTCTCTCTGGTCTCTCTCTCTGGTCTCTCTCTGGTCTCTCTCTGGTCTCTCTCTCTGGTCTCTCTCTGGTCTCTCTCTTGTCTCTCTCTCTGGTCTCTCTCTGGTCTTTGTCTTTCTCGTTGTTTTCTCATGATTCTTTCTGGCTTCCTTAACTTACCTCATCACACTTTTGCACCGGATTTTTTACCAGTTCGAGCAGGAGGAAGCCATGGTCCCCGTGCTCCCCGTGGTCCCCGTTCTCCCCACTCTCCCCGTGATCCCCGTGGTCCCCGTTCTCCCCACTCTCCCCGTGCTCCCCGTGGTCCCCGTTCTCCCCACTCTCCCTGTGATCCCCGTGGTCCCCGTTCTCCCCACTCTCCCCGTGCTCGCCGTGGTCCTCGTTCTCCCCACTCTCCCCGTGCTCGCCGTGGTCCTCGTTCTCCCCACTCTCCCCGTGCTCCCCGTGGTCCTCGTTCTCCCCACTCTCCCCGTGCTCGCCGTGGTCCTCGTTCTCCCCACTCTCCCCGTGCTCGCCGTGGTCCTCGTTCTCCCCACTCTCCCCGTGCTCCCCGTGGTCCTCGTTCTCGCCACTCTCCCCGTGCTCCCCGTGGTCCTCGTTCTCCCCACTCTCCCCGTGCTCCCCGTGGTCCTCGTTCTCCCCACTCTCCCCGTGCTCCCCGTGGTCCTCGTTCTCCCCACTCTCCCCGTGCTCCCCGTGGTCCTCGTTCTCCCCACTCTCCCCGTGCTCCCCGTGGTCCTCGTTCTCCCCACTCTCCCCGTGCTCGCCGTGGTCCTCGTTCTCCCCACTCTCCCCGTGCTCCCCGTGGTCCTCGTTCTCCCCACTCTCCCCGTGCTCCCCGTGGTCCTCGTTCTCCCCACTCTCCCCGTGCTCCCCGTGGTCCCCTCCTCCCCACTCTCCCCATGCTCGCCGTGGTCCTCGTTCTCCCCACTCTCCCCATGCTCGCCGTGGTCCCCGTTCTCCCCACTCTCCCCATGCTCGCCGTGGTCCTCGTTCTCCCCACTCTCCCCGTGCTCGCCGTGGTCCTCGTTCTCCCCACTCTCCCCGTGCTCGCCGTGGTCCCCTCCTCCCCACTCTCCCCGTGCTCGCCGTGGTCCTCGTTCTCCCCACTCTCCCCGTGCTCGCCGTGGTCCCCTCCTCCCCACTCTCCCCGTGCTCGCCGTGGTCCTCGTTCTCCCCACTCTCCCCGTGCTCGCCGTGGTCCCCTCCTCCCCACTCTCCCCGTGCTCGCCGTGGTCCTCGTTCTCCCCACTCTCCCCGTGCTCCCCGTGGTCCCCTCCTCCCCACTCTCCCCATGCTCGCCGTGGTCCTCGTTCTCCCCACTCTCCCCATGCTCGCCGTGGTCCCCGTTCTCCCCACTCTCCCCGTGCTCGCCGTGGTCCTCGTTCTCCCCACTCTCCCCGTGCTCGCCGTGGTCCCCTCCTCCCCACTCTCCCCGTGCTCGCCGTGGTCCTCGTTCTCCCCACTCTCCCCGTGCTCGCCGTGGTCCCCTCCTCCCCACTCTCCCCGTGCTCGCCATGCCCTGGGTGCCACATTAGCGCAGGGCCGCTCTCGTACACACAGCTCCACTCAGGCGACAAATAGCCTCTTTACATTAGCTCTAATAGCTCCATTACCCTGCGCCCTGCTCTGACGGCGCCCTGCTCTGACGGCGCCCTGCTCTGACGGCGCCCTGCTCTGACGGCGCCCTGCTCTGACGGCGCCCTCTTCTTTTCAGGATCTGCTGGTGGTTCTGCGCTCTGCCCTACAGCCTCCTCATCTTCGTCTACGATGAAGTCCGCAAGTACATTCTGCGGACTTGTCCTGGAGGTAAGGACACGTTATGGTCACGTTAATGACCTGACATGTGACATCAATGCTGCAGACAGACAGATGGATGGATACACAGACAGACAGTCTCTCTCTTGTCTCTCTCTCTGGTCTCTCTCTCTGGTCTCTCTCTGGTCTCTCTCTTGTCTCTCTCTCTGGTCTCTCTCTGGTCTCTCTCTGGTCTCTCTCTGGTCTCTCTCTGGTCTCTCTCTGGTCTCTCTCTCTGGTCTCTCTCTCTGGTCTCTCTCTGGTCTCTCTCTCTGGTCTCTCTCTCTCTGGTCTCTCTCTCTGGTCTCTCTCTCTCTGGTCTCTCTCTCTCAGTTCTCTCTCTCTCTGGTCTCTCTCTCTCTGGTCTCTCTCTCTCTCTGGTCTCTCCCTCTCTCTCTCTCTCTCTCTGGTCTCTCTCTCTCTGGTCTCTTTCTTTCTGGTCTCTCTCTCTCTCTGGTCTCTCTCTCTCTGGTCTCTCTCTCTCTCTGGTCTCTCTCTCTCTGGTCTCTCTCTCTCTCTGGTCTCTCTCTCTCTGGTCTCTCTCTCTCTGGTCTCTCTCTCTCTCTGGTCTCTCTCTCTCTGGTCTCTCTCTCTCTGGTCTCTCTCTCTCTCTCTCTGGTCTCTCCCTCTCTCTCTCTCTCTCTCTGGTCTCTCTCTGGTCTCTCTCTCTCTGGTCTCTCTCTCTCTGGTCTCTCTCTCTCTCTGGTCTCTCTCTCTCTCTGGTCTCTCTCTCTCTCTGGTCTCTCTCTCTCTCTCTGGTCTATCTCTCTCTGGTCTCTCTCTCTCTGGTCTCTCTCTCTCTGGTCTCTCTCTCTCTGGTCTCTCTCTCTGTGTGTGAAAGTTGCTTTGACCTCCTTGTCCTTGGCGCAGGAGCGTGTGTCTGTGACGGATGTGACATTCAGAGATGAGCCGCTCCAATGTCAAAGCTTCACCGGGAAATGATAAAAGTGAAATGTATTGGATCAGAAATGAGCGAGAGGCATCAGTCCGGAGGCAAAGGGCGCCGCAAAAAATCTATTCCACTTTATTTGGGCGTCAAACTTCACCGTGAGACTTGACAGATGCAGCCGCTCGATGCTGGAACTCGTTTGGGAGAAAGTCCCAGGGTTTGGCATTTTTCTCCTTCTCAAAGTGATAGTAGTTTGTAATGAGAGAAACCCCTCAGACCAGTTTAGGGGATTGGGAATCGACAACTTTGTACAGTCCTCAGAGACGACGGCTGAGGACTCGCTCTGGTCTCTCCTGTGGTCTCTCTCTGGTCTCTCTGTGGTCTCTCTCTGGTCTCTCTGTGGTCTCTCTCTGGTCTCTCTCTGCTCTGTCTCTCCCTGGTCTCTCTCTAGTCTCTTTCTCGTCTCTCTCTGGTCTCTCTCTGGTCTCTTTAGTCTCTCTCTGGTCTCTCTCTGGTCTCTTTAAGCTTAGCGTACATCGGACTGGCAACTGATTATATCCGTCGCATATGAGTTGCTGCCCCGCACACATCGACAATCTGACGAAAACGGGCAACTCCCAGTATCAGACCAGTCTGGGGAATAACAGCGCGTACATCGACAGCAACTGGCCTCAACTACAGTGTGTTTTCTGACATAAACTGTTGCGGGCGCAATACACGCAATACACACACGTTGTCGGAGCGGCGCATGGAGCGCGCACATCGGGTCATATCTCCGAAACTGAGGACAACTAGTTGCTGAAAAGTAGAACACGGGCAACTGACTGAAACTGGAGACCGACTGATCATCTCCAGTTGTAAGAGCGCTCACATCGACCGATTTCGGCAACTGATCATCTCCATCATCTCCTCTCAGTTGCCAAAAGCCGCCTTGCAACTAGTTGTCTCCAGTTTCTCTGTCGATGTACGCTAGGCTTTAGTCTCGCTCTGGTCCCTCTCTGGTCTCTCTCTGGTCTCTCTCTGGTCTCTCTCTGGTCTCTATCTAGTCCCTCTCTAGTCTCTCTCTGGTCTCTCTCTGGTCTCTCTCTGGTCTCTCTCTGGTCTCTCTCTGGTCTCTCTCTGGTCTCTATCTAGTCCCTCTCTAGTCTCTCTCTGGTCTCTCTCTGGTCTCTCTCTCTGGTCTCTCTCTGGTCTCTCTCTGGTCTCTCTCTGGTCTCTCCCTGGTCTCTCTCTGGTCTCTCTCTGGTCTCTCTCTGGTCTCTCTCTGGTCTCTCTCTGGTCTCTCTCTGGTCTCTCTCTGGTCTCTCCCTGGTCTCTCTCTGGTCTCTCTCTCTGGTCTCTCTCTGGTCTCTCTCTGGTCTCTCTCTGGTCTCTCTCTGGTCTCTCTCTGGTCTCTCTCTCTGGTCTCTCTCTGGTCTCTCTCTGGTCCCTCTCTCTGGTCTCTCTCTGGTCTCTCTCTGGTCTCTCTCTCTGGTCTCTCTCTGGTCTCTCTCTGGTCTCTCTCTGGTCTCTCTCTCTGGTCTCTCTCTGGTCTCTCTCTGGTCTCTCTCTGGTCTCTCTCTGGTCTCTCTCTGGTCTCTCTCTGGTCTCTCTCTGGTCTCTCTCTGGTCTCTCCCTGGTCTCTCTCTGGTCTCTCTCTCTGGTCTCTCTCTGGTCTCTCTCTGGTCCCTCTTTCTGGTCTCTCTCTGGTCTCTCTCTGGTCTCTCTCTGGTCTCTCTCTGGAGACAGTGCGGTGCGGTGAAAAGCCGAGATGTTCAGTTGAATTCCATTTATTTGTGTATTGTCCTAAATCACAGCTGTAGTTTTCTCAGAGAACTTTACAAAACTGTAAATTCACCATCACAGATCAGAGAATCAAACAGGAAATGCAACAATAACAAACACATAGAGCCATTGGTACAGTACATACACTGCAAAAAGTGCTGAGAATATTTGATAAAAACCATTCAATTCAAGCAGTTATCACCTCATATTTGATCATTTTTTACAGTGTAAGTGGCACTGACCACGTTCGGTGTCTTGGCTCCACTCCGTCCTCAGAACCTCTCACATCAGAGAGGAGCAACACTGAAAACCCAGTGGGAGAAAATGAGAAATGGATCTCATGTCTGTTCTCACGGCGTTTCGTCTCTGCGTCTGTGATTATCCATAATGTCTGTGATTAAATGTAAACGAGGCAGGAGCATACTTTTCATACGTGAGGCTCCATTACCAGTGCGACCTCCTCCGCCTCCTCCGCCTCCTCCGCCTCCTCCGCCTCCTCCACCTCCTCCACCTCCTCCGCCTCCTCCGCTGATTGTCCATTGTTTCTGTCTGACGGACGTGTTTACAGGTGCGTGATCACATCAGAAAACAAAAGGAGAAGCATCAGCGCCGTGAAATCTGTGCGCCGCAATCTGGAACCAAAACATGGAAATTTATGGATTCATCATGTTTGGATCTGAGCCGGGATTACCTGCAAAAGACAGACAGAAGCTTTCTCATGTCTGATAAACGATTGCTCTCATCTGCTGTCAATTTACAGAGAGAGGAGAGACGAAGATAGAGAGACAGGAGAAGAGAGAAGAGGAGAGACAGGAGATAGAGAGACAGGAAGAGAGAGAAAAGGGGAGAGAGGAGAGAGAGGAGAGAGAGAAGAGGAGAAGGGAGAGAAGAGAGAGTGAGGAGAGAGAAGAGAGAGAGAGGAGAGAGAGAGACAGGTGGAAAGAGAAGAGAGAAGAGGAGAGAGAGAGGGGAGAGAGAGAGGAGAGAGAAGATAGAGAGACAGGAGGAGAGAGAAAAGGGGAGAGAGGAGAGAGATGAGAGAGAGAAGAGGAGAAGGGAGAGAAGAGAGAGTGAGGAGAGAGAGGGGGGGAGAGAGGAGAGAGAAAAGAGGACAGCGCCCTGATCTACAAAATACAAACAGTTTAAAAAAAGGAAACCAAAGCCTAAGCAACAATGTAACCATAACAACATTCCTGTGTTTTGCAAATGGCAGAAAAACTGAATCTATAACAAAACCCAGAAAAACACCATCACACTGTGATCAAGGGAAACCTTATGTTTAACATAGAGATAGATCATAGACAGAAACAAGCAAGAAAAATACAGATTATAAAACAGAAAACAACACCTGCTGTTTCCAGATAAAGATAAAAGCTCATGAGCTGCTGCCTCCAGCTCCATCTCAGACTCACATCTATTTGAAATGTATCTGGACCAATGTTAATGTGCTGATTATCCTGGCCCCAGTGTGTGTCTGTGTGTGTCTGTGTGTGTCTGTGTGTGTCAGTGTGTGTCTGTGTGTGTCTGTGTGTGTCTGTGTGTGTCAGTGTGAGTCTGTGTGTCAGTGTGTGTCTGTGTGTGTCAGTGTGTGTCTGTGTGTGTCAGTGTGTGTCTGTATGTGTCAGTGTGTGTCTGTGTGTGTCTGTGTGTGTCTGTGTGTGTCTGTGTGTGTCTGTGTGTGTCAGTGTGAGTCTGTGTGTCAGTGTGTGTCTGTGTGTGTCTGTGTGTGTCAGTGTGTGTCAGTGTGTGTCAGTGTGTGTCTGTGTGTCAGTGTGAGTCAGTGTGAGTCAGTGTGTGTCAGTGTGTGTCTGTGTGTGTTAGTGTGTCAGTGTGTGTCTGTGTGAGTCAGTGTGAGTCAGTGTGTGTTAGTGTGTCAGTGTGTGTCTGTGTGAGTCAGTGTGTGTCAGTGTGTGTCAGTGTGAGTCAGTGTGTGTCTGTGTGAGTCAGTGTGTGTCAGTGTGTGTCAGTGTGTGTCTGTGTGTCTGTGTGTCAGTGTGTGTCTGTATGAGTCAGTGTGTGTCAGTGTGTATCTGTGTGTGTCAGTGTGTGTCTGCGTGTGTCAGTGTGTCAGTATGTGTCTGTGTGAGTCAGTGTGAGTCAGTGTGTGTCAGTGTGTGTCAGTGTGTGTGAGTGTGTGTCAGTGTGTCAGTGTGTGTCTGTGTGAGTCAGTGTGTGTCAGTGTGAGTCAGTGTGTGTCAGTGTGTGTCTGTGTGTGTCAGTGTGTGTCTGTGTGTGTCTGTGTGTGTCAGTGTGTCAGTGTGTGTCTGTGTGAGTCAGTGTGAGTCAGTGTGTGTCTGTGTGTCAGTGTGTGTCAGTGTGTGTCAGTGTGAGTCAGTGTGTGTCAGTGTGTGTCAGTGTG